CTGGTGCTGGCACCCACCCGCGAGCTGGCCCAGCAGGTAACCCGGGACGGGTCCGGGGCCTGTGGGTGCTATGGGGCGGTATGGGTGGGTACAGGGAGCTATGGGTGCTATAGGGGGGTATGGGTGGGTACAGAGAGCTATGGGTGCTATAGGGGGGTACGGGTGGGTACAGAGAGCTGTGGGTGCTATGGGGGGTTATGGACGGGTACAGAGAGCTATGGGTGCTATAGGGGGGTTATGGACGGGTACAGAGAGCTATGGGTGCTATAGGGGGTTATGGACGGGTACGGAGAGCTATGGGTGCTATGGGGGGTTATGGACGGGTACAGAGAGCTATGGGTGCTATGGGGGGTACGGGTGGGTACAGAGAGCTGTGGGTGCTATAGGGTGGTATGGGTGGGTACAGGGCGCTATGGGTGCTATATGGTGCTATAGGTGGGTATAGGCTGGTGTGGGTAGCTATAGGGCGGTATGGGTGGGTATAGGGTGCTATAGGTGGGTATAGGGTGGTATGGGTGGGTATAGGGTGGTATGGATGGGTATATGGTGTTATGGGTGGGTATAGGGTGGTATGGGTGGGTATAGGGTGCTATAGGTGGGTATAGGGTGGTATGGGTGCTATAGGGTGGTATGGGTGGGTATAGGCTGGTATGGGTGGGTATAGGGTGGTATGGGTGCTATAGGGTGCTATAGGTGGGTATAGGGTGGTATGGGTGGGTATAGGGTGGTATGGGTGCTATAGGGTGCTATAGGTGGGTATAGGGTGGTATGGGTGGGTATAGGGTGGTATGGGTGCTATAGGGTGCTATAGGTGGTTATAGGCTGGTATGGGTGGGTATAGGGTGCTATAGGGTGGTATGGGTGGGTATAGGGTGCTATAGGGTGCTATGGGTGGGTATAGGGTGGTATGGGTGGGTATAGGGTGCTATAGGGTGCTATGGGTGGGTATAGGGTGCTATAGGTGGCTATAGGGTGCTATGGGTGGGTATAGGACCAGTTTGGGGTCCCCCCGCTGCCTGGGCAGGGCGGCGCCGCTGTTGGTGCCGGTCCCGAATCCAGCGGGGGCAGAGCAGGAGCTCCCAGTTCATCCCAGTGCGGCCCCAGTGCCCACCACTGGTTCATGCCTGGGGCACAGCCCCTGGGGGGCACCTATGGGGCACCTATGGGGGGCTATGGGGCACCTATGGGGGGCTATGGGGCACCTATGGGGCACCTATGGGGGGCTATGGGGCACCTATGGGGGGCTATGGGCTGCTATAGGGGGCTATGGGGTACCTATGGGGGGCTATGGAGCACCTACTGGGGGCTATGGCCTGCTATGGGGGGCTATGGGGCACCTATGGGGGGCTATGGGGCAGCTATAGGGGGCTATGGGGCACCTACTGTGGGCTATGGGCTGCTATAGGGGGCTATGGGGCACCTATGGGGGGCTGTGGGGCTGCTATAGGGGGCTATGGGGCACCTACTGTGGGCTATGGGCTGCTATGGGTGGCTATGGGGCAGCTATAGGGGGCTATGGGGCACCTTTTGGGGGCTATGGGCCACTATAGGGGGCTATGGGGGGCTATGGGGCAGCTATAGGGGGCTATGGGGCAGGTATAGAGGGGTTTTGGGGCTGCTATAGGGGGTGAGGGGGACCAATAGTGGGGCTATGGGGCCGCTATGGGGCAGGTATAGGGGGAGGGACGCGGTCGATCGCCGTGGCGATGCGATGATGCCGCTTCTGCGATGACGTCACCGCCGGCGATGACGTCACGGCCCCCCCTCTGTGACGTCACAGATCCAGAAGGTGGTGATGGCGCTGGGGGACTACATGGGCGCCTCGTGCCACGCCTGCATCGGCGGCACCAACGTCCGCGCCGAGGTGCAGAAGCTGCAGCTGGAGGCGCCCCACATCGTCGTGGGCACGCCGGGACGCGTCTTCGACATGCTCAACCGCCGCTTCCTCTGTGAGCAACCCCCCCGGCACGGGCAAAACACCCCAAAAACGGGCAAAACACCCCAAAAACGGGCAAAAACCACCCAAAAACGGGCAAAACGCACCCAAAAACGGGCAAAAAAACACCCAAAAATGGGCAAAAACGGGCAAAACACACCCAAAAACGGGCAAAAAACACCCAAAAACGGGCAAAACACACCCAAAAACGGGCAAAAAACACCCAAAACCGGGCAAAACGCACCCAGAAACGGGCAAAAAACACCCAAAAACGGGCAAAAACGGGCAAAACGCACCCAAAAACGGGCAAAACACCCCAAAAACGGGCAAAACACACCCAAAAACGGGCAAAAAACACCCAAAACCGGGCAAAACGCACCCAGAAACGGGCAAAAAACACCCAAAAACGGGCAAAAACGGGCAAAACGCACCCAAAAACGGGCAAAACACCCCAAAAACGGGCAAAACACCCCAAAAACGGGCAAAAAACACCCAAAAACGGGCAAAACACACCCAAAAATGAGCAAAAACGGACAAAACACCCCAAAAACGGGCAAAAAACACCCAAAAACGGGCAAAACACCCCAAAAACGGGCAAAACACACCCAAAAACGGGCAAAACGCACCCAGAAACGGGCAAAACGCACCCAGAAACGGGCAAAAAACACCTAAAAACGGGCAAAACGCACCCAGAAACGGGCAAAACACCCCAAAAACGGGCAAAAAACACCCCAAAACGGGCAAAAAACACCCAAAAACGGGCAAAAAACACCCAAAAACGGGCAAAAAACACCCCAAAACGGGCAAAACACACCCCAAAACGGGCAAAACACACCCAAAAACGGGCAAAACGCACCCAGAAACGGGCAAAACACCGCAAAAACGGGCAAAAAACACCCAAAAACGGGCAAAACACACCCAGAAACGGGCAAAACACACCCAGAAACGGGCAAAAACCACCCAAAAACGGGCAAAACGCACCCAGAAACGGGCAAAACACACCCAAAAATGGGCAAAACACACCCAGAAACGGGCAAAACACACCCAAAAACAGGCAAAATACACCCAAAAACGGGCAAAACACACCCAAAAACGGGCAGAACACACCCAAAAACGGGCAAAATACACCCAAAAACGGGCAAAAAACACCCAAAAACGGGCAAAACGCACCCAAAAACAGGCAAAATCGGGCAAAACACACCCAAAATCAGGCAAAACACACCCAGAAACAGGCAAAACACACTGAATAACGGGCAAAACGCACCCAGAAACGGGCAAAACACACCCAAAAACGGGCAAAATACACCCAGAAACGGGCAAAACACACCCAAAAACGGGCAAAAAACACCCAAAAACGGGCAAAACACACCCAAAAACGGGCAAAAAACACCCAAAAACGGGCAAAACGCACCCAGAAACGGGCAAAAACGGGCAAAACACACCCAAAAACGGGCAAAACACACCCAAAAACGGGCAAAACACACCCAAAAACGGGCAAAAAACACCCAAAAACGGGCAAAACGCACCCAGAAACGGGCAAAAACGGGCAAAACACACCCAAAAACGGGCAAAACACACCCAAAAACGGGCAAAACACACCCAAAAACGGGCAAAAAACACCCAAAACCGGGCAAAACGCACCCAGAAACGGGCAAAAAACACCCAAAAACGGGCAAAAACGGGCAAAACGCACCCAAAAACGGGCAAAACACCCCAAAAACGGGCAAAACACCCCAAAAACGGGCAAAAAACACCCAAAAACGGGCAAAACACACCCAAAAATGAGCAAAAACGGACAAAACACCCCCAAAACGGGCAAAAAACACCCAAAAACGGGCAAAACACCCCAAAAACGGGCAAAACACACCCAAAAACGGGCAAAACGCACCCAGAAACGGGCAAAACGCACCCAGAAACGGGCAAAAAACACCTAAAAACGGGCAAAACGCACCCAGAAACGGGCAAAACACCCCAAAAACGGGCAAAACACACCCAAAAACAGGCAAAATACACCCAAAAACGGGCAAAACACACCCAAAAACGGGCAGAACACACCCAAAAACGGGCAAAATACACCCAAAAACGGGCAAAAAACACCCAAAAACGGGCAAAACGCACCCAAAAACAGGCAAAATCGGGCAAAACACACCCAAAATCAGGCAAAACACACCCAGAAACAGGCAAAACACACTGAATAACGGGCAAAACGCACCCAGAAACGGGCAAAACACACCCAAAAACGGGCAAAATACACCCAGAAACGGGCAAAACACACCCAAAAACGGGCAAAAAACACCCAAAAACGGGCAAAACACACCCAAAAACGGGCAAAAAACACCCAAAAACGGGCAAAACGCACCCAGAAACGGGCAAAAACGGGCAAAACACACCCAAAAACGGGCAAAACACACCCAAAAACGGGCAAAACACACCCAAAAACGGGCAAAAAACACCCAAAAACGGGCAAAACGCACCCAGAAACGGGCAAAAACGGGCAAAACACACCCAAAAACGGGCAAAACACACCCAAAAACGGGCAAAACACACCCAAAAACGGGCAAAAAACACCCAAAACCGGGCAAAACGCACCCAGAAACGGGCAAAAAACACCCAAAAACGGGCAAAAACGGGCAAAACGCACCCAAAAACGGGCAAAACACCCCAAAAACGGGCAAAACACCCCAAAAACGGGCAAAAAACACCCAAAAACGGGCAAAACACACCCAAAAATGAGCAAAAACGGACAAAACACCCCCAAAACGGGCAAAAAACACCCAAAAACGGGCAAAACACCCCAAAAACGGGCAAAACACACCCAAAAACGGGCAAAACGCACCCAGAAACGGGCAAAACGCACCCAGAAACGGGCAAAAAACACCTAAAAACGGGCAAAACGCACCCAGAAACGGGCAAAACACCCCAAAAACGGGCAAAAAACACCCCAAAACGGGCAAAAAACACCCAAAAACGGGCAAAAAACACCCAAAAACGGGCAAAAAACACCCCAAAACGGGCAAAACACACCCCAAAACGGGCAAAACACACCCAAAAACGGGCAAAACGCACCCAGAAACGGGCAAAACACCGCAAAAACGGGCAAAAAACACCCAAAAACGGGCAAAACACACCCAGAAACGGGCAAAACACACCCAGAAACGGGCAAAAACCACCCAAAAACGGGCAAAACGCACCCAGAAACGGGCAAAACACACCCAAAAATGGGCAAAACACACCCAGAAACGGGCAAAACACACCCAAAAACAGGCAAAATACACCCAAAAACGGGCAAAACACACCCAAAAACGGGCAGAACACACCCAAAAACGGGCAAAATACACCCAAAAACGGGCAAAATACACCCAAAAACGGGCAAAACACCCCCAAAAACAGGCAAAACGCACCCAGAAACGGGCAAAAAACACCCAAAAACTGCTAGAAACGGGCAAAACACACCCAGAAACGGGCAAAACACCCCAAAAACGGGCAAAACACACCCAAAAACGGGCAAAAAACACCCAGAAACTGGCAAAACACCCCAAAAACGGGCAAAACACACCCAAAAACGGGCAGAAATGTCCAAAACCGACCCAAAACCAGGCAAAATCCACCCAAAAACGGCCAAAAAACAGCCAAAACCCACCCAAAACCGGCTAGAAACGCCGAAAGTGACCCCAAACCAGCCAGAAACAGCTAAAAATGACCTCGGAACGGCCAAAAGTGACCCCAAAAACGGCTAAAAATGACCCCAAAATTGCCCAAAACTGGCTAAAAATGACCCAAAAATGGCCCCGAAACACCCAAACCCGGGATGGTTCATTACCCATGTCCATCCCATGTTATTCCCATGTCCATCCCATGTTGACCCCATGTCCATCCCATGTTGACCCCATGTCCATCCCATGTTATTCCCATGTCCATCCCATGTTGACCCCATGTCCATCCCATGTTATTCCCATGTCCATCCCATGTTGACCCCATGTCCATCCCATGTTGACCCCATGTCCATCCCATGTTATTCCCATGTCCATCCCATGTTGACCCCATGTCCATCCCATGTTGACCCCATGTCCATCCCATGTTATTCCCATGTCCATCCCATGTTGACCCCATGTCCATCCCATGTTATTCCCGTGTTATTCCCATGTCCATCCCATGTTATTCCCATGTTGTTCCCATGTCGATCCCATGTCCATCCCATGTTATTCCCGTGTTATTCCCATGTCCATCCCATGTTATTCCCATGTTGTTCCCATGTCGATCCCATGTCCATCCCATGTTATTCCCGTGTTATTCCCATGTCCATCCCATGTTATTCCCATGTTGTTCCCATGTCGATCCCATGTCCATCCCATGTTGTTCCCATGTCCATCCCATGTTATTCCCGTGACCCTCCCGTGTCCCCGCCCACTGATGACCTCATGCGTGTCACCTGACCCTGGGGGGGGGCCCGGCCCCACGTCCTGTGGGGCTGCAGCTCCCAAGCCCAGGGGGTGATCCCAGAGCAGGGCTGAGGGCGGGACCCAAAAGCACCCAAAATCACCCCAAAAACACCCCAAAATCACCCAAAATCACCCAAAAACAGCCAAAACCAGCCAAAAATAACCCTAAAACAGCCAAAATCACCCCAAATCATCCCAAATCACCCCAAAACCGCCCAAAATCACGTGAAATCACCCCAAAACAGCCCAAACCACCCAAAATCACCCAAAATCACCCCAAAATCACCCAAAATCACCCCAAAACTACCCCAAATCACCCCAAAATCACCACAAAACCACCCAAAAATCACCCAAATCACCCCCAAACCACCCAAAATCACCCCAAAACAGCCAAAACCACCCAAAATCACCCAAAATCACCCCAAATCACCCAGAATCACCCCAAAATCACCCCAAAATCACCCCCAAATCACCCCCAAATCATCCCAAAACCACCCCAAAATCTCCCAAAATCACCCCCAAATCACCCCAAAACACCCCAAAACACCCCAAAACCACCCCAAAATCACCCCAAAACCACCCAAAATCACCCCAAAACCACCCAAAATCACCCCAAAACCACCCCAAATCACCCCAAAATCAACCCAAAACCACCCCAAAAGTCACCCCCAAATCACCCCAAAACCACCCCAAAGTCGCCCGAAATCACCCCACAACAGCCAAAACCACCCAAAATCACCCCAAAACAGCCAAAATCACCCCAAAACAACCCCAAAACCACCCCAAAATCACCCCAAAATCACCCCAAAATCACCCCAAAACTGCCCCCATAGCCCCCATAGCGCCCCATAGCGCCCATAGCGCCCCATAGCGCCCCATAGCGCCCCCCATTGCCCCACAGCGCCCAGGTACATCCGGATGTTCGTGCTGGATGAGGCCGATGAGATGCTGAGCCCCCCAAACCCCCCATAGCCCCCCATAGCCCCCATAGCGCCCCATAGCGCCCTATCGCGCCCCATAGCGCCCCATAGTGCCCCATAGCGCCCCATAGCGCCCCCCATTGCCCCACAGCGCCCAGGTACATCCGGATGTTCGTGCTGGATGAGGCCGATGAGATGCTGAGCCCCCCAAACCCCCCATAGCCCGCATTGCCCCCATAGCGCCCCATAGCGCCCCCCATTGCCCCACAGCGCCCAGGTACATCCGGATGTTCGTGCTGGATGAGGCCGATGAGATGCTGAGCCCCCCAAACCCCCCATAGCCCCCATTGCCCCCATAGCGCCCCATAGCGCCCCATAGCGCCCCCCATTGCCCCACAGCGCCCAGGTACATCCGGATGTTCGTGCTGGATGAGGCCGATGAGATGCTGAGCCCCTCAAACCCCCCATAGCCCCCATTGCCCCCATAGCCCGCATAGCGCCCCATAGCGCCCCATAGCGCCCCATAGTGCCCCATAGCGCCCATAGCGCCCCATAGCGCCCCATAGCGCCCCCCATTGCCCCACAGCGCCCAGGTACATCCGGATGTTCGTGCTGGATGAGGCCGATGAGATGCTGAGCCCCCCATTGCCCCCATAGCGCCCCATAGCGCCCCATAGCGCCCCATAGCGCCCCCCATTGCCCCACAGCGCCCAGGTACATCCGGATGTTCGTGCTGGATGAGGCCGATGAGATGCTGAGCCCCCCAAACCCCCCATAGCCCCCATTGCCCCCATAGCCCCCATAGCGCCCCATAGCGCCCCATAGCGCCCCATAGCGCCCCCCATTGCCCCACAGCGCCCAGGTACATCCGGATGTTCGTGCTGGATGAGGCCGATGAGATGCTGAGCCGCGGCTTCAAGGACCAGATCTACGACATCTTCCAGAAGCTGAGCGGGAACACGCAGGTGGGGGGGACACGGGGGGGGGGACGGGGGGCAGTGCCCCACATTGGGACCCACTGAGAGGCACTGGGACCCATAGAGAGCCATTGGGACCCATAGAGAGCCATTGGGAACCACTGAGACCCCATTGGAACCCATAGAGAGCCATTGGGAGCCACTGAGAGGCACTGGGACCCACTGAGACCTCATTGGGACCCCATTGGGACCCACTGAGAGCCCCTGGGACCCATAGAGAGCCATTGGGACCCATAGAGAGCCATTGGGACCCATAGAGAGCCATTAAGACCCCATTGGGACCCACTGAGAGCCACTGGGACCCACTGAGAGCCATTGGGACCCATTGAGAGCCATTTGGACCCCATTGGGACCCATTGAAATCCCACTGGGACCCATTGAGACCCCATTGGGACCCATTGAGACCCCATTGGGACCCCATTGAAACCCCACTGGGACCCATTGAGACCCCATTGAGACCCATTGAAACCCCATTGGGACCCATTGAAACCCCACTGGGACCCCACTGGGACCCATTGAGACCCACTTTCACCCATTGAGCAACATTTAGCCCCATTGATCACCGTTGAGCCCCATTGAGCCCCATTGACCCCTATTGATCCCCATTGACCCCCATTGCCCCCCATTGAGCCCCATTGACCCCCGTTGAGCCCCATTGATCCCCATTGCCCCCCATTGCCCCCCATTGATCCCCACTGCCCCCCATTGAACCCCATTGACCCCCATTGATCCCCATTGACCCCGATTGAGCCCCATTGATCACTGTTGACCCCCATTGTTGCCCATTAATCTGTATTAACCCCCATTGCCCCCCACTGATCTCCATTGAGCCCCATTGAACCCCATTGCCCCCATTGATCCCCATTGACCCCCATTGATCCCCATTGATCGCCATTGAGCCCCATTCCCTCCCTTGTTCCCCATTGATCCCCATTGCCCCCCATTGACCCCCATTGATGCCCCATTGATCCCCATTGACCCCCATTGACCCCCATTGACCCCCATTGAGCCCCATTGACCCCCATTGACCCCCATTGATCCCCATTGATCCCCATTGACCCCCATTGATCCCCATTGACCCCCATTGATCCCCATTGATCCCCATTGACCCCCATTGATCCCCATTGCCCCCCATTGACCCCCATTGATCCCCATTGATCTCCATTGGCCCCCATTGCCCCCCATTGAACCCCGTTGCCCCCCAAGTGCCCCCCAGCCTCCCTGCTCTATGGGGACGGATGGGAGGGGGTTATGGGGACCCGTGGGGGTGGGGTTTGGCTTTTGGGTGGTTTTGGGGGGATTTTCTTGGCAATTTTGGAGTGGTTTTGTCCATTTTGGGGGTGATTTTGTCCGGTTTTGGCCGTTTTTGGGGTGGTTTTGGCCATTTTCGGCTGGTTTTGGGGTGTTTTTGGCCGTTTTTGGGGTGTTTTTGCCCGTTTTTGCCCGTTTTTTGGGTGTTTTTGTCCGTTTTTGGGTGTTTTTTGGGTGTTTTTGGCCGTTTTTGGCCGTTTTTGGGGTGGTTTTGCCCGTTTTTGCCCGTTTCTGGGGTGGTTTTGCCCGTTTTTGCCCGTTTCTGGGTGTTTTTACCTCGCCCTCCCCCGCAGGTGCTGCTGCTCTCGGATGGTTTTGGGGTGTTTTTAGCTGTTTTTGGGGTGTTTTTGCCCGTTTTTGCCCGTTTTTGCCCGTTTTTGTGTGTTTTTGGGGTCTTTTTGTCCGTTTTTGGGTGTTTTTACCTCGCCCTCCCCCGCAGGTGCTGCTGCTCTCAGCTGGTTTTGGGGTGTTTTGGGGGTGTTTTTGGCCGTTTTTGGGGTGTTTTTGCCCGTTTCTGGGTGTTTTTGGGGTGTTTTTGCCCGTTTTTGCCCGTTTTTGGGGTGTTTTTGCCCGTTTTTGGCCGTTTTTGTGTGTTTTTACCCCGCCCTCCCCCGCAGGTGCTGCTGCTCTCGGCCACGATGCCCCTGGACGTGCTGGAGGTGACCAAGAAATTCATGCGGGCGCCGGTGCGGATCCTGGTCCGGAGGGAGGAGCTCACCCTCGAGGGCATCCGGCAGTTCTACATCAACGTCGAGAGGGAGGTGGGGCCGCTCGGGGGTGCTGTGGGGCACAGGCTTCCTATGGGGCAGGAGATAGCGGTGCTATGGGGCAGGATATAGGGTTGCTATGGGGCAGGAGATAGCGTTGCTATGGGGCAGGATGTAGGGTTGCTATGGGGCAGGAGATAGCGTTGCTATGGGGCAGGATGTAGGGTTGCTATGGGGCAGGAGATAGGGTTGCTATGGGGCAGGATATAGCGTTGCTATGGGGCAGGATATAGCGTTGCTATGGGGCAGGCTATAGGGTTGCTATGGGGCAGGATATAGGGTTGCTATGGGGCAGGAGATAGGGTTGCTATGGGGCAGGATATAGGGGTGGTGTGGGGCAGGATGCGGTGGTTGTGAGGCAGGATATAGGGTTGCTATGGGGCAGGATATAGGGTTGCTATGGGGCAGGATATAGGGGTGGTGTGGGGCAGGATACGGTGGGTGTGAGGCAGGATATAGGGTTGCTATGGGGCAGGATATAGGGATGCTGTGGGGCAGGATATGGTGGGTGTGAGGGAGGATATAGCAATGCTATGGGGCAGGATATAGGGTGGTGTGGGGCAGGATATAGGGGTGGTGTGGGGCAGGATACGGTGGATGTGAGGCAGGCTATAGGGTTGGTATGGGGCAGGATATAGGAGTGGTGTGGGGCAGGCTATAGGGATGCTGTGGGGCAGGATACAGTGGGTGTGAGGCAGGATATAGGTTTGCTATGGGGCAGGATATAGGGGTGGTGTGGGGCAGGGCATAGGGGTGGTGTGAGGCAGGATATAGGGTTCCTATGGGGCAGGATATAGGAGTGGTGTGGGGCAGGATATAGGGTTGCTATGGGGCAGGATATAAGGTTGGTGTGAGGCAGGATATAGGGTTCCCATGGGGCAGGATATAGGGATGCTGTGGGGCAGGATACGGTGGTTGTGAGGGAGGATATAGCAATGCTATGGGGCAGGATATAGGGGTGGTGTGGGGCAGGATACGGTGGGTGTGAGGGAGGATATACGTTTGCTATGGGGCAGGATATAGGGTTGCTATGGGGCAGGATATAGGGATGCTGTGGGGCAGGATACGGTGGGTGTGAGGCAGGATATAGGGTTCCCATGGGGCAGGATATAGGGTTGGTGTGGGGCAGGATATGGTGGGTGTGAGGCAGTCTATAGGGTTCTTATGGGGCAGGATATAGGGTTTCTGTGGGGCAGGATACGGTGGTTGTGAGGCAGGCTATAGGGTTGCTATGGGGCGGGATATAGGGGTGGTGTGGGGCAGGTTATAGGGATGCTGTGGGGCAGGATACGGTGGGTGTGAGGCAGGCTAAAGGGTTGCTATGGGGCAGGTGTGCGGCAGGGCATAGGGTTCGTGTGGGGCAGGATATAGGGTTGGTGTGGGGCAGGATATGGTGGTAGTGCGGCAGGATATAGCGTTGCTATGGGGCAGGATATAGGGGTGGTGTGGGGCAGGTTATAGGGATGCTGTATGTCAGGATACGGTGGGTGTGAGGGAGGATATAGGGTTGCTATGGGGCAGGGCGTAGGGTTGGTATGGGGCAGGATCTAGGGTTGTTACAGGGCAGGTTATAGGGTTGCTATGGGGCAGGATATAGGGTTGATGTGGGGCAGGATATAGGGTTGTTGTAGGCCAGGTTATAGGGTTGCTATGGGGCAGGTGTGTGGCAGGGAATAGGGTTGGTGTGTGGCAAGATACAGGGTTGTTATAGGGCAGGCTATAGGGTTGCTATGGGGCAGGCTATAGGGTTGCTATGGGGCAGGCTGTGAGGCAGGACATAGGGTTCCTATGGGGCAGGCTGTAGGTTTGCTATGGGGCAGGATGTGGGGCAGGACATAGGGTTCCTATGGGTCAGGCTGCAGGTTTGCTATGGGGCAGGATGTGGGGCAGGGTATAGGGTTGGTTGCTATGGGGCAGGCTATAGGGTTGGTTGCTATGGGGCAGGCTGTAGGGTTGGTTGCTATGGGGCAGGCTGTGGGGCAGGCTATAGGGTTGGTTGCTATGGGGCAGGCTATAGGGTTGCCTGCTATGGGGCAGGCTATAGGGTTGGTTGCTATGGGGCAGGCTGTGAGGCAGGACATAGGGTTCCTATGGGGCAGGCTGTAGGGTTGGTTGCTATGGGGCAGGCTGTGGGGCAGGCTATAGGGTCGGTTGCTCTGGGGCAGGCTATAGGGTTGGTTGCTATGGGGCAGGCTATAGGGTTGGTTGCTATGGGGCAGGATGTGGGGCAGGCTATAGGGTTGCCTGCTATGGGGCAGGCTATAGGGTTGCCTGCTATGGGGCAGGCTATAGGGTTGGTTGCTATGGGGCAGGCTATAGGGTTGCCTGCTATGGGGCAGGCTATAGGGTTGGTTGCTATGGGGCAGGCTATAGGGTCGGTTGCTATGGGGCAGGCTGTAGGGTTGGTTGCTATGGGGCAGGCTATAGGGTCGGTTGCTATGGGGCAGGCTGTAGGGTTGGTTGCTATGGGGCAGGCTATAGGGTTGGTTGCTATGGGGCAGGCTATAGGGTTGGTTGCTATGGGGCAGGATGTGGGGCAGGACATAGGGTTCCTATGGGGCAGGCTGTAGGTTTGCTATGGGGCAGGATGTGGGGCAGGCTATAGGGTTGCCTGCTATGGGGCAGGCTATAGGGTTGGTTGCTATGGGGCAGGCTATAGGGTTGGTTGCTATGGGGCAGGCTGTAGGGTTGGTTGCTATGGGGCAGGCTATAGGGTTGGTTGCTATGGGGCAGGATGTGGGGCAGGCTATAGGGTTGGTTGCTATGGGGCAGGCTATAGGGTTGGTTGCTATGGGGCAGGCTATAGGGTTGGTTGCTATGGGGCAGGCTGTGGGCTAAAGCCTCTGCCCCCCCGCATGGTCCATGGATTTGTGGGGCGCCCCATGGCCACCCCGCAGTGACCCCATGCCAGAGCCAGCGCCCGCTGCGCTCCCCACTGAAACCATGGGCCTGGCCCCTGCCTGTGGGGCAGGCCCCTGAACGGGGGGGGACACGAACGCACTTGGGGGGCAGCGACGGGGGGGATGTGGGGCAGCTTCAAGCTGATGTGGGTCACTATGGGTCAGGGTATGGGTCTTTGTGTGTCTCTATGGGGTCTCTATGGCACTCTATGGGTCCCTATGGGTCCCTATGGCTCTCTATGGGTGTCTATGGGGTCCTTATGGGTCTCTATGGGGTCCCTATGGATCTCTGTGGGTCTCTATGGGGTCCCTATGGATCTCTATGGGGTCTCTGTGGGGTCTCTGTGGCTCTCTATAGGGTCTCTATGGGGTTTCTATGGGTCCCTATGTGTTTCTATGGGTCGCTATGGGTGTCTGTGTGTTTCTATGGGTCGCTGTGGGTCGCTATGGGTCGCTATGGGTCTCTGTGTGGTTTCTATGGGTCGCTGTGGGTCGCTATGGGTCGCTATGGGTCTGCCCCACAGGAGTGGAAGCTGGACACGCTGTGCGACCTCTACGAGACGCTGCGTCTCTATGGTCCCTATGGCTCTGTGTGGTTTCTATGGGTCGCTATGGGTCTCTGTGTGGTTTCTATGGGTCGCTATGGGTCGCTGTGGGTCTGCCCCACAGGAGTGGAAGCTGGACACGCTGTGCGACCTCTACGAGACGCTGCGTCTCTATGGTCCCTATGGCTCTGTGTGGTTTCTATGGGTCGCTATGGGTCTCTGTGTGGTTTCTATGGGTCGCTATGGGTCTCTGTGTGGTTTCTATGGGTCGCTATGGGTCTCTGTGGGTCGCTATGGGTCTCTATGGGTCGCTGTGGGTCGCTATGGGTCGCCGTGGGTCTGCCCCACAGGAGTGGAAGCTGGACACGCTGTGCGACCTCTACGAGACGCTGCGTCTCTATGGTCCCTATGGCTCTGTGTGGTTTCTATGGGTCTCTGTGTGTTTCTATGGGTCGCTATGGGTCGCTATGGGTCGCTATGGGTCGCCGTGGGTCTGCCCCACAGGAGTGGAAGCTGGACACGCTGTGCGACCTCTACGAGACGCTGCGTCTCTATGGTCCCTATGGCTCTGTGTGGTTTCTATGGGTCGCTATGGGTTTCTATGGGTCTCTATGGGTCTCTATGGGTCGCTATGGGTTGCTATGGGTCGCTGTGGGTCTGCCCCACAGGAGTGGAAGCTGGACACGCTGTGCGACCTCTACGAGACGCTGCGTCTCTATGGTCCCTATGGCTCTGTGTGGTTTCTATGGGTCGCTATGGGTCTCTGTGTGGTTTCTATGGGTCGCTATGGGTCGCTATGGGTCGCTGTGGGTCTGCCCCACAGGAGTGGAAGCTGGACACGCTGTGCGACCTCTACGAGACGCTGCGTCTCTATGGTCCCTATGGCTCTGTGTGGTTTCCGTGTGTTTCTATGGGTTTCTATGGGTTTCTATGGGTCGCTATGGGTCTCTATGGGTCTCTATGGGTCGCTATGGGTCGCCGTGGGTCTGCCCCACAGGAGTGGAAGCTGGACACGCTGTGCGACCTCTACGAGACGCTCACCATCACGCAGGCCGTCATCTTCATCAACACGCGCCGCAAGGTCGATTGGCTCACGGAGAAGATGCACGCGCGCGACTTCACCGTGTCCGCCATGGTAGGGGGCGGGGCCTGCACGAGGGGGCGTGGCCTGCACAAAGGGGGCGTGGCCTGGACAAAGGGGGCGTGGTTTGAAAAGGGGGCGTGGTTTGGAAAGGGGGCGTGGCTTGGCCGGGGAAAGGGGGGTTGTCCAAGGGGGTGGAGGTTAACCAAGGGTTAATAAAGGGGGCGGGGCTTAGGAGGAGGGGCGGGGCTTGATGATGGGGGTGGGGCTTAATAAGGGCGGGGCTTAGCAATGAGGGTGTGGCTTAACAAAGGGGGTGGGATTAAGATGAAGGGGTGGGGCTTAACAATGGGGTGGGGTTAAGACAAGGAGGCGGGGCTTAACAAAGGGGGCGGGGCTTAACAATGAGGTGGGTCTTAACAAAGGGGGCGGGGCTTAGCAATGAGGGTGTGGCTTAACCAAAGGGGGTGGGATTAAGATGAAGGGGCGGTTCTTAACAATGGGGTGGGGTTAAGACAAGGAGGCGGGGCTTAAAGGGGGCGGGGCTTAGCAATGAGGGTGTGGCTTAACCAAAGGGGTGGGATTAAGATGAAGGGGCGGGGCTTAACAATGGGGATGGGGGTTAATGAAGGTTTAACAAAGGGGGCGGGGCTTAGCAATGAAGGGTTTAAGCAAGGGGGCGGGGTTTAAGCAAGGAGGCGGGGCTTAATGGGGCGGGGCTTGATGAAGGGGAGGGGCTTAACAAAAGTGGAAGGGGGTTGGGGGAGGAGCTTAACAGGGCGGGGCTTAGGGGTGGGGCTTATGGGGGTGGGGCTTGAATGGAGGCGGGGCTTGGGATGAAGGGGGCGGGGCCATGCCTGGGCAAACCCCTATGGAAGGGAGCCACGGGCCCAATAAAGGGGGATCCATAGGGCTGGGCTGGGAGGGGCAGGACAGGCCCCGCCCCCCTTCATCCCAAGCCCCGCCCCCTCCCCAGCACGGGGACATGGACCAGAAGGAGCGTGACGTCATCATGCGGGAATTCCGCTCGGGCTCCAGCCGCGTGCTCATCACCACCGACCTCCTGGTGCGCCCCTCCCCCACCCCAGCGACCCTCCCCCCCTTTGTCCCCCATCCCCCTTTGCCCCTCCCCCTTTTGCCCCTCCCCACCCTTTTGCCAGCCCATTGCCCCTCCCCCCCATTGACCCCATTGCCCCTCCCCCCATTGACCCCATCGCCCCTCCCCCCCATTGACCCCATCTCCCCCATTGCCCCTCCCCCACCCTTTTGCACCTCCTCCCATTGCCCCTCCCCCCTTTTCCCTACCGCTCTTGCACCTCCCCCCCTTTACCCCATTGCTCCTCCCCTTTCCCACCCCTCCCCCCCCTTTAGCCCCAGCTTTTCTTTGTCCCTCCCCTTCTTACCCCACCCCCCTTTTGCCCCTCCCCCATTTACCCCTCCCTCCTGCCCATCCCCCACCCCATATCCCCTCCCCCCTTTGCCTTTCCCCCACTGCTCCTTTCCCGCCATTGTCCCACCATTGCCCCTCCTCCACCCTGCCCCTCCCCCCCCCAAAGTGAGCACAATTCCCCCCTCCCCTTCCCCCCTTCCTTTCTATCAATGGGGGTTCCCCTTTGCCCCCTCCACTGGGTGTGAATGGGGGGGTCGCCCCTCCCCCACCCCCCCTCTGACCCCTCCCCTCCCCTCCCCCCCCCAGGCCCGTGGCATCGATGTCCAGCAGGTTTCGCTCGTCATCAACTACGACCTCCCCACCAACCGCGAGAACTACATCCACCGGTGGGGGAGGGGCCCATGGGGGGAGGGGTGGCCCCATAGAGACCCATGGGGGGGAGGGGTGGCCCCATAGAGACCCATGGGGGGGAGGGGTGGGCCCATAGAGACCCATGGGGGGAGGGGTGGTCCTAGAGACGCCCATGGGGGGGAGGGGTGGTCCCATAGAGACCCATGGGGGGGAGGGGTGGCCCCATAGAGACCCATGGGGGGGAGGGGTGGTCCCATAGAGACCCATGGGGGGAGGGGTGGTCCCAGAGACACCCATGGGGGAGGGGCGGTTCCATAGACACCTATGGGGGGAGGGGTGGTCCCAGAGAGACCCACGGGGGGAGGGGTGGTCCCAGAGACACCCATGGAAGGGGGAGGGGTGGCCCCATAAGGATCCATGAGGGGGAGGGGTGGTCGCATAGAAACCCATGGGGGGGAGGGGTGGCCCCAGAGAGAAGAGGGGGGATGGATTTAAAGGATGGGGGAGGGGCTCTTCATAGCCACAAATGGGGGAGGGGCTCCCCATAGCCATAAAGAGTGGGGGGATGGGCTCCCCATAACCAATTAAAAGGGGGGTGAAAAGGGGAGGGGATGGATTTAAAGGATGGGGGAGGGGCTCCCCATGGCCAAGAATGGGGGAGGGGCTCCCATAGCCATAAATGGGTGGGGAAAGGGGGGGGATGGGCTCCTCATAAGCACAAATGGGGGAGGGGCTCCCCATAGCCATAAAGAGTGGGGGAGGGGCTCCCCATAGCCACAAATGGGGGATGGGCTCCCCATAGCCACAAAAGCAGGGGGTGGGGGTTGGGTTTTCGGGATGGGGGATGTGGGGGATGGGCTCCCGATGTGGGGGATGGGCTCCCCGTGACCCCTCCCCTCCCCTCCCCCCCAGGATCGGGCGCGGGGGCCGCTTCGGGCGCAAGGGCGTGGCCATCAACCTGGTGACGGACGAGGACCGGCGGGCGCTGCGCGACATCGAGGCCTTCTACAACACCGCCATCGAGGAGATGCCGCTCAACGTGGCCGACCTCATCTGAGCGCGCCCGCGGCTCCCAAACCCCGCCCACTGCTCCCAAACCCCGCCCACTGCTCCTAAACCCCGCCCACCGGGACCTAAAGCCCGCCCATTGGGTCCAAACCCCACCCACTGGGGGCGAAACCCCTCCCACTGCTCCTAAACCCCGCCCACTGGCTCCAGACCCCACCCACCGGGTCCAAACCCCGCCCACTGGGACCTAAACCCCGCCCATTGGGGGCTAAACCCCGCCCACTGGCTCCAGACCCCGCCCACCGGGTCCAAACCCCGCCCACTGTGACCTAAACCCCGCCCATTGGGGCGAAACCCCGCCCACTGGCTCCAGACCCCGCCCACCGGGTCCAAACCCCGCCCACTGGGGGCTAAACCCCGCCCACTGGCTCCAGACCCCGCCCATCGGGTCCAAACCCCGCCCACTGGGGGCTAAACCCTGCCCACTGGTCCTAAACCCCACCCATTGGGTCCAAACCCCGCCCACTGGCTCCAGACCCTGCCCACTTGGGGCTAAACCCCGCCCACTGGGTGCTAAACCCCGCCCACTGGCTCCAAACCCCGCCCACCGGGTCCAAACCCCGCCCACTGGGGGCTAAACCCCGCCCACTGGCCCTAACCCTAACCCCGCCCATCGGGTCCAAACCCCGCCCACTGGCTCCAAACCCCACCCACTGGGGGCTAAACCCTGCCCACTGGTCCTAAACCCCACCCATTGGGTCCAAACCCCTCCCACTGGGTTCAAACCCCGCCCATTTGGGGTTAAACCCCGCCCACTGGTCCCAACCCCCGCCCATTGGGTATTAAACCCTTCCTAATGGGTCCAAACCCCGCCCATTTGGTGCTAAACCCCGCCCATTGGGTCCAAACCCCGCCCATTGGGTGCTAAACCCCGCCCATTGGGTCCAAACCCCGCCCATTTGGTGCTTAGTTCCACCCTTTTGGTGCTAAACCCCGCCCACAGGGTCCAAACCCCGCCCATTGGGTATTAAACCCTTCCTAATGGGTCCAAACCCCGCCCATTTGGTGCTAAACCCCTCCCATTGGGTCCAAACCACGCTTATTGGGTCCAAACCCCGCCCATTGGCTCCTAAGCCCCTCCCATTGGACACAAGCCCCACCCTTTTTTGGTGCTAAGCCCCGCCCATTGGGTCCTAAGCTCCTCCCATTGGGTGCTAAACCCTTCCCATTGGACCCTAAGCCCCATCTGTTGGGTTCTAGGCTCCGCCCACGTGGTGCTAAACCCCGCCCATTGCCTCCTTAGCCCCGCCCCTTGTGTCCAAACCCATCCCATTGGCTCCTATGGGGACCTAAGCCCCGCCCCTTGGCCCCAAGCCCCGCCCCCTTTTTTTTTCCTATTGCCTTTTATGGTCTTTTGGAATAAACGTGACAAACGCCCCTCCCCCACCGTGACCACGCCCCCTCCCAAGCCCCGCCCCCACCCCAGGCCCCGCCCCCTTTTTGTAACGTTTATTTATTGGCATTAAAAAAAGCGATTTTGGGACAAAAAAGGGGAATTTATTATGGGGGGAGGGGAGATGTGGGGCAGGGAATGCGCGCTATGGGGCAGGGATCTCTGCTATGGGGCAGGGAATCCCCATTGTGGGGTGCAGCGGGAGCTATGGGGCAGGGAACCCATGCTATAGGGCAGGGATCTCTGCTATGGGGCAGGGAAGCCCCATTGAGGGGTGCAGAGGGAGCTATGGGGCAGGGAACCCGCGCTATGGGGCAGGGATCTCTGCTATGGGGCAGGGAGCCCCCATTGTGGGGTGCAGAGGGAGCTATGGGGCAGGGAACCCGCGCTATGGGGCAGGGATCTCTGCTATGGGGCAGGGAGCCCCCATTGAGGGGTGCAGAGGGATCTATGGGGCAGGGAACCCATGCTATAGGGCAGGGATCTCTGCTATGGGGCAGGGAAGCCCCATTGAGGGGTGCAGCGGGAGCTATGGGGCAGGGAACCCATGCTATAGGGCAGGGATCTCTGCTATGGGGCAGGGAAGTCCCATTGTGGGGTGCAGAGGGAGCTATGGGGCAGGGAACCCGCGCTATGGGGCAGGGATCTCTGCTATGGGGCAGGGATCTCTGCTATGGGGCAGGGACGCCCTATTGATGGGTGCAGAGGGATCTATGGGGCAGGGAACCTGCGCTATGGGGCAGGGATCTCTGCTATGGGGCAGGGAAGCCCCATTGTGGGGTGCAGAGGGAGCTATGGGGCAGGGAACCCGCGCTATGGGGCAGGGATCTCTGCTATGGGGCAGGGAAGCCCCCATTGTGGGGTGCAGAGGGAGCTATGGGGCAGGGAACCCAGGCTATAGGGCAGGGATCTCTGCTATGGGGCAGGGAAGCCCCATTGAGGGGTGCAGAGGGATCTATAGGGCAGGGAACCCATGCTATAGGGGAGGGATCTCTGCTATGGGGCAGGGAGCCCCCATTGTGGGGCACTTAGAGGACTATGGGGTAGGAAACACGAGCTATGGGGCACAGATCTTGGCTATGGGGCAAGGAGGCCCCATTTTGGAGCACAGAGGGGACTATGGGGCAGGGAACCCACGCTATGGGGCACGGATGCTCCTGCCGCTCCATGGGGTGGGAGTTGTGGGTCCCACTTTGCATCCCTTCCCTATAGATCCCTAGTTATGGGTCCTTTCCTCATGGCTCCCTTCCCTATAGATCCCTGCCCCATAGATCCCCACTTATGGGTCCCTCCTTCATGGGTCCCATTCCTATAGATCCCTGCCCCATAGATCCCCACTAATGGCTCCCTTCCCCATAGATCCCTGCCCCATAGATCCCCACTTATGGGTCCCTCCTTCATGGGTCCCATTCCTATAGATCCCTGCCCCATAGATCCCCACTTATGGCTCCCTTCCCTATAGATCCCTGCCCCATAGATCCCCACTTATGGGTCCCTCCTTCATGGGTCCCATCCCTATAGATCCCTGCCCCATAGATCCCCACTAATGGCTCCCTTCCCTACAGATCCCTGCCCCATAGATCCCCACTTATGGGTCCCTCCTTCATGGGTCCCATCCCTATAGATCCCTGCCCCATAGATCCCCACTTCATGGGTCCCTCCTTCATGGCTCCCATCCCTATAGATCCCTGCCCCATAGAGCCCCACTAATGGCTCCCTTCCCTATAGATCCCTGCCCCATAGACCCCCACTTATGGCTCCCTTCCCTACAGATCCCTGCCCCATAGATCCGCACTTATGGGTCCCTCCTTCATGGGTC